TTTAGAACTTTAGCAAACGTACAAAAGAACATAGATTAAATATACAAACCCCAAAAAGGGCATAATATGGGCTCTTTAATATGAGTCATTATCACACATTATACAGGTATATGGTATAACTGGGCTGCAGAATAAACATGTTTCCATAAGATCAGACTTCTAGAAAAGAATTCCAAACAGTAAAAGTAACAATAGAAATGTACTTTAATTTAACCATCTTGCTGTCTTATATTGAATATCAAATGATTGTTTGAGCACTCTTCATTGACTTTAGTAAAAAAAATCCAAAATGTCGTCTTATAATTATTTTTGAATGATTTGCCAAATATGAACAGGATCCCACACTGCAATTCATTTCTTGGATAGAAACCCCTAAAGCCAGTCAAAGCAGAGAGCAGCTTCAGACAAGTTTGTGGTCTGTTTTGCTTTTTGTAACGGAAGATGACTGACTTTAAAAGCCCAAAGCCAACAATCTTCTCAGCACGCCTGTCAAGATATCAGCTAATTTAAGAAACAAATTAGTGCAAAAACACTTGGGCCTCTCACGTTCTGTTTTAGAGTGAACACAAGAGAGCACTTGATAGTTAGAGTCCAGCATCAGACGAATATGTCCACCCATTAATCAGTCTCTAGGGAGGTTTAAAGTGTAATGAAAAGGCTACTCTTTTCTCTTCTGTTACAGCCATTACAAGGCAGGCTGGTTTATAATTCTGAGTTTACAGAAAAAGTATTAAAGTGAGAACAACGGCTCTTTTTGAGAATTTCAAACTGATCAGCTCTGCCATTATCATTATTATAGCGCTGAGAAGTCAACACACACATTCTCCATGTGTGCCTGGTAGCATGTTTCCTGCAGAACTTAGAAAACATCATTATCAAAGACTGACCTCTAGATTTGTAAAGAAAGAGATATTAAATGAAGTTCTCTGATGTGCACCATGCTATATTATTTTGGGTGTTTTTGGGGAAGGGGGGAGTGAACATTAGTCTTGTTTGATATCATTAAAATATGGTCACGAGAGACATTTCTCTTCAGGGAGAAAATCACAAGATAAAAACAGAACCATCTTTGTGAAATTATTTATCTATCGTCCAAGGTCTTCAAAGACTGAAGGTCACATGAGAAAGGTCAGCATATCAGAAACATTTATCCTCAACTATCATGCAGTTATATTCATCATTCTGTAAAAAAAACCCACATGTAGCCTCAGTGCCTCGAATCCTACAATAACAGGTAATTCCTGGGATTCATTTTGACATTTAACATGCTCTTTATTGGGTTGAATCGTTGTACAATATTAGCAAGGAAAGCCGTCAGACATCTTGGGTTTGCCCTATCTCTGCACTTCCCTGCTCCTGTCCCTCAAGCACGTGTGGCAGACGCCGAGCTCGCTCCAAGAGACCACAGTGCTGTCAGCTCAGATCCGTCTTCGTTTAGGAGGCTGCTTGTTCATTAAGGCCGACATGGCTCAACAGGAGGCAGGCTTTTATAAACAAGCCTGCGTACGGTGTCATAAATCCACATTAGGAGAAGCAGAGGCATCTCATGTGGTGGGAGGTTACAGAGGTGATGGTTTTTGTGACCAAGTAGTCCAGGCCTTCAGCAGAGCCCTGTTCTCCTAAAGATCAGGAGCAATGGTGCTACATCACAGAGATTGAGTGAATTTCTGTTGCTATGTTAAAAAAAAATTAAAAAAAAATCGTTATCATAATTCCAGTCTACAAAGCGTGCTCTGTGTGACTGCCATTTACGCGGCTGGATTGTTTTATTTTTTTCCTAGAGAAAGGTCAGTGGCTGGGGCAACATGCCAGGTGTTGTGGAGCAGCAGACCAGTGTGGTGTACTGAATGTAATTATGGCACTCTGGCAATCTGATAACCTGCCAGTCTGTCTCTCCACACTGCAAAGGTGCACTGGCATATTAAAGAGGGCTCAACAACATGGCTGTTAGCAGGGAACAGTGTGAACGTGTGGAGGTAAATGGGATAGGGGCCAGGGTTCGACTCGCTTCAAAGACCAGTTGTTTTCCATAGTGTTAGGGTAATTATTTACTTTAAAATACAAGAACAATTCAAACAAAACCATTGTGATTATTGATTTAAGTCATTCTATCTGACTGCATCTATATTTTAAAGTTCAGTTGCAACCAGTGCTGGAGTTGTGTGCACAGTTGTAGGCTGGTTTACTGTGTTAACCCTGGTACTAGAGTGCTTGTTGTCTGTGTTTTTACCAAGTTTTCAGAATGTGCTTTTGTGTTGAATATACTTTTATATCCGTATCCCTCTCTAAGGCTTTCCACATAATGGAAAGGCAACAAGTGATGAGACTTTTCTTGACGACAGCTCTTCTCCCTCAGGCCTTGTTCACCCATTGTCTGGAAGGCTAAAGACAGACAACAGAAGTCTCCCATGTGCAGTTAAAAGCTACAGATTACATGAAAGATTGTAGCATTATTTGGCGCTGCAGCCATGCTCCGCCTGATGGACTCTAGCCTGAGATAAAAGGAGGGTTTCCCAAATGTGAGTTACTAAATTAAAGAGGGGATCAACTAGAGTTGAAGAGCCTTCCTCTTGTTCGCTGTATAACTCTGTAATTTCCTGTATTTCCACAGGCAGAGTTTTGCCATGTAGAACTGCAGCGGAAAGACAGTAGCCCAAGGACAACATTTTGTTCTGCAGGATACCCACCTTAATTGCCTAACACTGTCGACTACAGAAGCATCATAGGAGCTAACGCCTGAAATTTGGCAAAAGATTTTGAAATAAATGAAGACTGACTTTTTTTTTTTTTTACCCTAAGATGTGAGTCGAGCATATCCGTGAAAAAAAAGACTTCTGTCTGCTTCACATAATATTCTGGCTTCAGTACATAGTCCTTCTCCTGTCAGGAAATAAGCTTCAGGCGACGACTCTAACAGATAACTGAAAGAGTCCAGGGAGCAGCCCGAGCCCTGCCACTGCCTCTCTGAATCTCAGCTGACACCATAAGTCAGCGGCCAGCTATTTAGACATCTAAGCTGTTTTGAGACTTGTGTTAACAAGCACAAAGGGGCCACTGAGCCAGCCAGAGAAGGTGTTGCCGTGCTAACAGAACAGAGAGCACTCTCCAAACTCATCTGTTTCATTCTTCCCTTTCAAACATTCACTCCCTCACTGGCTTTTTCCTTTTTTTTTTAGTTTCCTCGCTGTAATTACACCAGCTCCACCAAGCGTAGCTCGAGGCGTGGCTGGGCAAAATCACTCGTTAATATGAATCTGCAGAGTGTGTGAGAAGGAGAAGGAGGAGGAATACTCACAGGCGGTCTCTGTGGAAACATTAGGTTGTAAGCAGCCTGCACCTGTGTGGTCCTCCTGGGACGAAGAGGTAAAGAAGCCTCACTTTGGGGAATTGTGTGAAGTGAGACCATCCATTTTCAAAATGAACCTGCGACAATTACAAAGTCAGAGTGAGGAAACAAGCTTCTGTAACTAACAGCCATCGGGCTTTGGATTGTTTAAGCAGCTGAAACTAACCTGCAAAATGACATTCAGGAGGATGTCAGAGCCAAAAAGGAAGGTTTATCTTCCTTTATTTCCTTTATTTATCATCACAACAGAAGCCAAAAGGCGTAGAGAATAATAACATGCAGCATATTAGTGACTACACAACTTTACACACCCCTGCTTATCTCCAAGATTAGAATCCCGCTTTGGAACAACTGTCTCCTAAACAAAGATATCTCAAGGCTGAACGTGTGAATCAAAGGTGTGACGACACATCTTCAACCTCAGAGACAGTAGAGTGGCTGCTGTGTTTGTTAGGAGACATACAGATTAACACCAGACAGAGCACCAGACCAGACAGATAGTGTTACACAGCGCGCTCTCCTACCAAATGAGAGTAATCAGACACATCCAGAGATCAGAATTACAGCAGCAGCTGATGGCAAAATATGACTTAATTTATACCGAAATCCATATATGTACCATGACGACACACTGTTGTTGCTACAGTGATGGAAATCTGTGCAAAAGCCATGCTGTGCTACTACAAATGACGGGTAGCTGCAGGCTATGTAGGGCCAGTTGTTAGAGATGCTGTGTGTGTGTGTGTGTGTGTGTGTGTGTGTGTGTGTGTGATTGGGAAGAGAGTGAGAGATGAGTGAAGAGGGAAATTATTATCTCTCTGAGTGCTCTTCAACAGGCCAAGGAAGTTCACAGTCGTTCCTGTGTGCAGACACAAAAACACCCTCATTAATATAGACAGCTAGACAGCAACATGCATGGTACTCTTCAAAAAGGAAAACCACACATTCATTATTTACCATATTATACTGGACAGCGTGAAATGTAGCAATTGGGAAGAAAACACTAATGAAAAAACACTTTTCCTATGAATGTCACTTCCCCCTTAACAGGGTTACGTAGAGCGCAAAGCAGCTTGAGCTCATTTTCATAAAACCTCTGTGTCCCCCAAGTGAATAAGGGGGCTCAGTTTGCCTTCATTAGCATGTGCCAGGAAACACCATTACTTACGTTTTTTTTTGCAGCTGGAATATTTTGAAAGGCATTTAGTGTGTTCTCGAGATTATTGGACGTCAAAGGAGCCCACTGGCTGAAGCTCAAAGACCTTCTTTTGGGGGAATTCACTGCAGAGCCAAGGTTTTTTTTTTTTTTTTTTTTTTAAATCAGATTCACAGCAGGAAGCAAATTGGATGGGAGATAACTGTTGGCTACTCTCATCACCTTAAGACCCGCAGATGGGTGCTCATTTATATTCAGACAGAGTCTCCTCTATTCAACTTCTCAATTTGACTTTATTTCCCACCGCATAAAACACACTAACCCCAAACTGTTGAGATTCTTCATGTGCTGATCCTTCATACATTTTCTGATTTAATGTTTTTTTTCCACATAGCTCATGCTAGCTATGTTGCTGCCTCAGGAATGAGTATCTCCTCCATCAAAGCCTGTGGATCACATTCCTCACTTATAGGATTAAAGGTCCTCAGTCAAGACAGATACCAGCAATCCAGAGGCTTTTTATTTAGCTGAATATCTTCACAGAAAAAAAAGAGCAATTACATCTATCTAGTAATCCAAAAAAAACCTATGCAATGTGCACTATAAACGTTCAAAAAGGGCATACTTTATATCACAATTCACATATTAAAAATAACAAACTCATAAACAAGCAGTATAGCATTTCTCTGCAGCAGAGGCATAATGACAAGGATGCAATGACCAGCTGAGTGTTTGTTTATCGACAGGTATTCTTTCACAAAGTCACCTAACTCCGTCCGTTTCTCCTTTAGGAAAAGTAAAAATAGAACATATCACTCTTTGCAGCTCTTCCAAAAGAACAACAGCGACCGTTTACCAGAATTCATTGCCCATGCAATGCAACACGGAAGACACACAGCTGCCAGGTACTTTTATAAGACATGCGGCAGTGGTTGAATGGAGTTTGTGGGGGGGGGGAGGGGGGTAATAAGGAGTCATGACAGATGTCAAATCTGTATAGCATCAAAGGGGGAAAGGGGGAAGGGGAGGAAGACTTTCATGCAACTCTTAACAGTACAAGTCATTTCAAATCTCACTGTGAGGTCCATGACACTGTCCCACTATTGCTCACACATCTGAGTTGATGCTCAGGTTGGCCAAACGGGGGTCAGAATTTATCTCGTACCTGTAATGGTACCCCTCCATATGGTCCCTACAAGCATCCCGAATGTTGTACATCCAACGCTTGATACCTTTTCTGTTCAGGTAGAGAACCAGCAGAAATATGACGCCAATAAGAGCCAGAACCAGCCCCAGAAAAACATAAGAAGTCTCCAGGACGCCCTCCATGTCACCCAAACACTTCAGCTGTGACAGCTCTAGATGCAGGAGGTGGCTGCGCCTGAGGGCCTCGGGATCTGCGCAGGTCAGGTACTGCCTGTCCACGATCTGAGTAGTGTTTTTCAGCCAGAGCAGCATGTCTTCGATGAAGCAGTCGCATCGCCAGGGGTTCCCCGCCAGCTGGATTCGGAGTCCAGGCTTGTGGTCGAACTGCACCAGGGTGGCGGTGGGAAGGTCCCTCAGGCTGTTGTCCCTCAGGTCAAGGTCACGCAGCGGCACCTTCAGCGTCCCATTCGGAATGGAGATGATGGAGCTGTTCTGCAGGCTGAGGTTGACCAGGTGGGAGAGGCTGGAGAATATGTCATCTGGAAGAATCACAAGGTCATTGTTGGACAGGTCCAGGACTGTCAGCTGATCGAGGTTTCCACTCTGCAGGAAGCCCAGAAACTCATCCATGAAGGTATGATTGTGAAAAGTACTACTGAGGTTCAAGACTTGCACTTTGTTCTCACTGGGAAAAGCTCTTTCACTGAAATTCAGAATGTTGTTATTGCTAAGGTCCAGTCGCACAAGGTTTGGCAAGTTTTCAAATGCCTGTACATCCACAGACTCAATCTCATTCCCACTAAGATAGAGATCTGTTAACAGTTCTAGGCGGGTTGGGAAAGAGTCCACACTAATACCGGAAATGTCGTTTCCTGTGACGAACAGAACTTTGGTGTTGTTTGGTAAAGAATGCGGAATGTCATTCAAGTCCTGGTTTTGGCATTTCACAGTTTGTGAAACGCACAAACACTTGTCTGGACAACCGTGACAGGTCAATATGACACAGAGGAGCAACAGCAAATAAATCATCCCAGAATTCAGTACTCTCCCTCTGTTGTCTTCGCGGTTCCATCCGCATGACGTGCTCAACAGGCGCATCTTGGATTTTTACAAATCTGTCTGTGGCAGACTGTGCGTAAAGATTGTTCCCCAGCCACACAAACCAGTCACCGCCTCGATCTTCTAAGGGACCAGGGGAAAGTTTTTTTTTCAACTGTTTATCCCGCTTTTTCTCCTTTCGAAAAACTGCCCCGAGTTCCTATTTAAACTCCACATAACTACCCCCAAACCATCCTGGTTTAGGGAAAGTCTACATTTCCTTGGCGATAAAGGACGCTCGTAAACTTCTAGGACAATCCTCTTCGTTTGTTCTCAACCTCAGACTGTTTAAAAAACCAATCGATGCTTTAAAAGGCAAAAAAGTGCGAAGCAGATGTAACTACGGCAAACAACTTACGACCATTTCAGAGGCAGAAAACGTTGCGTGTCTCCAAACACTGCCATGTACGTAGGCTACTTCCAGCTTGTGGATCTTGTACACGGCGGGACTATGGAGGGGGAGACTAAACAGAGCAGCACTGTGCACAGCGTTGGAAGGTGGGAGCATACCATTTTTTGACGAAAAGGGGGAGGTGAACAGAACATTCATACAGGTTTATTCGGATTTTAAATGAAATATTTTACTAAGGATCCTATATTGTTTTTCTTTTATATTTATCTTAAGTCACTATCAAACATCTTGTGAAAATTGCATCTCGGCTTGTAATGATATGTGCTGGGGGTCCAGGAACCACTGAGGGTCTGCGACGGAGCTATAATGACGTCCCGAGCAATGTTACTGTAAAATGAGGTAGCCTCATTGTACTTATCAGATAGGCTTATTTGGTGATGGTTTAGTTGCAACTCCGTGTTAAGTGACCACTTGCACATTTTCAGATATAATTATTGAAGGCTATTATAATATCTTTATAATGCCTATAAGCAATTAAGTATAGGGAAAATAGGCAACAAATCATTAAGAATCGAACACCCATTTTAAAGGCCTACATGCACAACCCTAAGGCTGAGAGAAATCAGGTGAAGGAAACATCCAACATTTTATTCAGTGATAACGTCACATAAAGGAATCCATATTTTACTGCTATATATTTTTGAAAATTGAATTTTCATTAGGGACCCTTAATGATAAATTGATCTTCATATCTCACCCAGGGATGTCAAGATGCCATTTGTTTGGATGACAATTTTATATTTAACATGATCCAGTTCCACCTAAACAACAAACTCAAACCGAGAGCAAATCAGAGATGATTCTTCCCTTCTTTAAACCGACACATTAAATTAAATCATGTTGTTTTTTATTTTTATTTTGTGTGTGTGTGTGTGTGTGTGTGGGGGGGGGGGGTATACATTTATTTTCTAAAAGGGGGTTTACTTATCATATAAAAGCGCAAATGTTAAAATTTAGGCTCTTCACTGCTATCTTTAGCTATCTATGTGCTGGAGCAAATGGTCAAAATTGATATGTTAGGATGAACTGACACATTTATTCTGCTAGAGTCAATCAAATCGAGTTAATTGAATAACTCAACATATTCACCTTGGAAAGCTTTGTTAGGCTTCAAAAACATTGTTCTAAAACAGGGGAATGGTCAGTTTAACTTTTTTCTCTTAATATATGGTCTGATTTTGTTTTCAATATTCTTTCAACAAATGATGAGTGGACAAATTGCCTGCTGGATTATGCAGGATAATACTGCTTAAAAAAACTTGGATGTGTTCATGCATGACTTGTCAGGGAGGGCATGCTCATCAATATCTCATATTTGGAAGCCCCTGAGAAGAACTCAATGTAACCCTACCTTTACCCTACTCTGACCCCATCCTGACCTCAGTCAATGTGACAATTGCTTCATGGAACCAGGATCAAACAATACTTTATACTTTATTTCAGACCCATAGGTCCATATCGTTATAAAAAAAAGCACAGATATATAAATACAGGACATTAACAAAGGGGTGTTTCCAGAAACACGAGGAATACCTTGTGTCGCTAAGTCTGGGCTGGGTCAGTGACATTATAATGACATTTTGTGAGTTATTTAATCGACACATAAATTTGAACATTAAATTTCTCCACCTGAAGCTAAGTTTGATATTTTTACAGGGTTGGGGCATTTTTATAGGCTATTTTTTGTCACAACAATGTAGAAACTCTTTTGAAAAGGACAACACTTTGTGTAACTGTCGTGCTTTAGGAAGAAAAAAAAGTCTGTTAAGTGCGCTACACAATTATTGTTTAAGACTTGCATGACTGGCAAAATGTTAATTCATCTTTTTTATTTAATAATAATAATTTGTTGTTATCTGGTTGTTATATAATGTTTATCAAGTTTATAACAGAGTTAATAATATCAATCCCAGAATCATAATAATAATAAAAGACTAAACATTGCCGATGACATCATTGGTACAGCAACAGCCCACTAACAAACCCACAAAATGAACCAATCAACTACTGGGATACACATGCCTGGACCAATCAGGAGGCTCGACACTAGTGAGTGTTTTACCTGCAGGGTTTCAGACTTCAAGCCCTGTCAACGTTTGCACCTGAGCTAAAAGCTGACAGTAGTAATGACACATTGGATGTACGTTGTTGATGCTACTTTCTCCATGTCATCGTTTTTCTTTATCTAACGGAAGGTAAGAAACTAAACGACGTTACTTTAAAAACGTATCATAATGCCAACGTCAGCTCTCGATGATGTGTCAGCTAAGCTAACGCTAAGCTAACTGTTTAGGATAACTATCCTCAGGTGAAAACGTTTGCCCCCCTTTTCTTACCTATGCCGTTATAGTTGATTTTCCTACTCTGTGTCTCAGCTTGCAGATAAGAAAATACACATTACTTTCTAATGTAATGGGGCTTTTAGTGTAACGCTTTCCTCCCTATGTGCTAACACTTAGCTAAGAGAAGTAGCCTCTTCATTTTGCACATTTTGCAAATAATTTTGTAACCTGTGTGTGACATCTGAGGGAAAAGATGATCAGTAATGTTATTCTAATATACATATAGGGTCCTTATTGTTTTAGCAGCCCTGTTTTTAACGTGTGATTCCTTGTGGGCTTGAATTGGGGTATAGCCAAATTGAAAACTAGCAAGCTAATGTTGTCCGCTAACTTAGCTTGTTACATAATCAAGTTATTTAGGCAACGTTTGTGATGACCGGGCACTTTCTTCTAGTCTCCAGAGGCCCATATGCAAAGTTAAAATGTATTTGTTTAGGTCTTATCTGCACAGCGCTGTCGAATAGATGTACAGATATCAATAGATCCGACCTCTGACCTCTCCAGTTTGTTATTAGGCCAAACTTGTTATGACCTTTAACCTTATAGTTTTGGATCTCATTTCACTACTACAGCACCCTAACACAGTGTCACAGGCATGTTCACGGTTGCAAACTGTTAAGTGTGAATGTTGGCTGGTATTTAGTGATAACTCACTGTGATCTTTCTTCCTTAGGTGCACTCTACAATTATGGAGTTTTGAAAAAGAGACAGAGAATTTTGGGGGGAAAGGGGGCCTTTCCCCTCAAGTTTGATGGTTGGACTGCTGGGCTAGAAGGTCAGAGGGTTGCTGGTAAAATTGCCTTTTGTAAATTAAGAGTATTTAAAGAGTATATATTTTTGCAAACATTAATGTGTATAACTTTGTATGAAACGCACAAGAAGTTTTGTATTTATTAAATTCATGATGCCATTGTATGCTAAAAGCACCTTAGTTTGTGACCAACCCTTGGTTGAGATGGTGGACTGAAACGAGCCACAGAAAGGCTCTGGGGTTGCTAGGGTGCAGTGGAACCTCAACACAAGCACAATTCTAGCACTCCAAACCATCTCAACCTTTTGTTGACACATTTTATTTTCTTCTTTGAGAGCAGCTCTGTGACAGTAAAACGTTGTTTTTACTGTGTTTTCTTTTTGTCACTGCACATTGTGGTGTTTTTAAGTTTGTTTAAAGTTGTGGGTGGCGGGCTGTCATAAGGACTTTGTAATATAAAAAGGTGGAGGGTTCACTGAGGATTTGATAGAGGTCAGGATGAGTCTGGCACCACCAGAGTGCACCCCAAGATGCCGCTCACAGAAGCATGCAGATGAGGTTGTAGCTGCACTAACGGGTGGCTCTGAGGGGCAGCTACGGGCGTTCCTGACTTCATACTGCCACAATGCGGCCACCCTGCGGGATAACTTTGGTCGCACTGCCCTGCACTTGGCAGCTTCATTGGGAAAGAAGGCCCTACTGGAGTGGTTGCTTGAGAGTAAGAATGCTGACCTGATGGTGAAGGATAAGGAATCTGGCTGGACCGCTCTGCATCGCAGTGCTTTCTATGGACAGATCCACTGTCTCATATCGCTGGTCAAGGTAGGGTTTTAACTTGGATTACCTAAAAATGTGTGTCCAGTACCTAAAGGTGTTCTCCTTAAATGGTATTTTATGACAAAATTCATTAAATGATAAATATTAACATGGAAAATCACAGGGAGTTCCAGGAAAAAATAAATCTTGTTAAAATGTATTTTCTTTCTTTGAACTGTTTCTTTCTTCTTGAATTACTTACTTTTGGTATTTTATTTATTTATTTATTTATTTTTGTTTCAGCATGGCGGGCTACTTTCCACTCAGGACAAGGAGGGTCTCTCTGTCATGGACCTCACAATGAAGGACCGACCTTCACATGTTATCTTCAAAAACACTGGTACGATAGACCAATGCTCTCTGAGATACTGAAAAAACTTCACTCAATATTTATTCAGACATTTAAAAAGGTTTTTCGATGTTAAAACTCCAGCTTCCCTCGCAATACAAATAATCAATTGTGAGAGTAAGAGGATTTAGCTTGTGCTGAAATGTTTGTGACATTCCCTATACCTGAATGACATTGAGGAAGAAACTTAAAATTGTGTAACTCTGTTGTTTTTATCACAAGGCTAATGAGCAATATGACTCATTCAAGCTAATGAAGTATTTCACACTCGTACAGGCCAGGGATTTGAGGATCCCTGTGGGTTATAATGTGTCTTTTTAACTAGTATGGTCTCTCCTTTTTTTAAATTACAGATAGAATCTCTAACTTTAATGCATCTAACATATTATTTACCATTTAAAAATCATTTTATAAATCTTTTTACAAGTGTTTTTACATGACCCTTTGCTTCTTCATTAAGGTCCTATATGTGTTATATGAAACTTTCTGGATTGCCTTGTTGTTGATTTTATTCAAATGACTTGCCTTCTCGTAATGGTAGAAGGGACCGGTGGTTAAAACAAGCTCAGGTAGAAAGCAGTGTTTTGTCTGTGCTTTTAATTGTGTTTTCTTCCTCATTAAAGACCCGACAGAAGTATACACGTGGGGAAACAATACTAATTTCAGTCTGGGTCATGGCAATCAGGAGAGCAGACAGCACCCTGAGCTTGTGGATGTGTTTGCTAGGACTGGAGTTTACATCAAGCAGGTAGGCAACACTGTGATGTTATCCCAGTTCTCCAGGGGACAGGGAAGTGTTTTCCTACAGCATGGGGGGCTTCCCTCCCCTTAAACCAAACTCAGATGTGTCACAACCATAATGACCTGAAGCACAACTCTGTGCCAACATGTGTTGCATAAAATAAATTTAAAAAAGCAACTGCACAGAGGTAGTCCAAATAAGCCACACCACCTGGGTAAACCAGCAAAACACCCCCTCCCAGGAGTGTGTTACACAACCGTCTCTGATGCTCAATCAGCATTTAAAAAAAAAAAAAAAAAAGAGTGTTTCCCTGTGAGCATTACCAATACAAACCACAGCAGTACAAATACTGGTTATTCTTGGAAGTTTTCACGTTTACTCGTAAGAAAAGAGGTTTAATTGAACTTTTGACAAATGAAAAAAGTTTGTGAATGTATTACCATGGTATGTCACATCAGGTCACATTTATTAGGTATGCTGCAGGGAAGCATGTACAGTGTTCTTGGCTCAATATGGTTCTGGGAGGAGGGGGATCCCTCAGTGATGATGTTTGACTGAGTCAAAAAGAGGACCTGTATAATATTAATGTGGGACTGTATGGAGCTGGTGGGTGCATGGTTGCACTATGTAGACATGCTGTGCCAGCCTGGCTACTATTTCATGTGTTTGTCATGTGAATGCTCTTAGTGTGATTAATATAGCTTCTGGCACCGGTGCACCTACCCCCAGTGGCGTGAGTACACACCAGGTGCTATTTGTAGTTGATTAAGTAATACTGAATGACAGTGTAAGAAATACCGTCATTTTAATCTATTGTAAAGACCTGACATTTGAAAGCAGCGTGTGCGCTTGTTCAGAGGTTATAATCGGGTGAGTTGGGTCTCCCATTATCTGGTGTTTACAGAAGAAACCCTGTGTTTGAGGTGTTTTTCAGCCTTGCAGGGCTTGTCATGCAGAGTCATTTCATAAAGCCTAGTGGGGGACAGATGGGTCTGATTTCATGACCACACAATGACCCAGTGCCATCGGTATAGTCTTTTATCTTCCTGGCCCAATAGAGCAGGTGCCAGAGGTTAAATATTAATTCCACAATGACATGTTTTTAATTAAATGAACTGGAGTAGTGTGTGTGCATGTGTGTGGATGTCTACATCAATGTGATACTTTGGGAAACATCACTGGTCTCTATTGAAAGCTTGAGGGGGGGCAATGTATTAGTAATGATGTTTGCTTTTCCACTTGTGCCCAGGCCTTTATTGGTTTAGTGTTTTACTATCACTACAAGAGGTCTTGGCTAAGGTACATGGAAAGAGATGCATCACAGCCTAGGCTATGAGGTCAACATTATAATGACAAAAGACTTGATCGACACAAACATCAGCTTTTTTTCTCAGAATAGGTTGTTAAGTATTTCAAAATAAAAAGCAAAAGCAGAAAATCATACATATGTTAATGTTTAATGGTCTCTCCTGTCTGCAGGTGGTCCTCTGTAAATTCCACTCTGTGTTCCTGTCACAGAAAGGCCAGGTCTTTACCTGCGGCCATGGACAGGGAGGACGACTCGGCCATGGAGATGAACAGACTTATCTGGTGAGACTTGTAAGAGGGAATTTTGGAACAAGATGTGCCAAATCAAATAAAAAGTATAAGGGAGTCCTTTTCAGAGCTATCACTTCAAAAGTCTGACAGTTAATACTAATTGATCATTATCTGAATCCATTCATAATAAAGATAGCGGTTCTTCACTGACCACAGCTGCATAAACATAGATTTTTAAATTGAGAAACATTTTGTGTTTCTACCTCGACTACTAAATGCTTTGAACTGCAGCCTGCAGACCTAGAAGACTAACTTCTTCAGATTGAATGTCTACTTGACATCATTTAGGTCTTTTGACTCTGATAAAAGTGTAACGCTGTAATATTTAATGCCCATCATCCTTAAGGCAGCCAACACATATATTATACCTTTACAAAGTTTATAATATTTAGTTTAAACTGAGACTGTCATAGAGACTCTTGTTTAAACACAAGCCTTTTATTGAGGTTTTAATCATCAGCGGCTCATACTGACATCTGGAAAATGTTTTCCAATAGCAAAATGACATGACTGGTAATAGATACAATAAACTACATTGCTTTATATTTATTCAAATTTAGAAAAGAAAGTATGAAATGCTTGATTGGATATCAATTAGGAGTATTAATGATTTATTGAGAAGGGGTGGGGTTTCACTAGTTTGTTTATCCTCCTTTTCAGGTTAAACCTGAAAAAGATTCTTTGTATTTGATTCTATTTACAAACCATTTGTAAATAGAATCAAATACAAAGAATCTTTTTTTTTTTTTTTTTACTTTTGTCTGTTTGTTTTTTTTAATGATAGAAAAATCAACAAAAACTGGCTGTTATAACCTTCATAAGGAGGTATTTAAAATAAAGTGGACAGAGAGGCTAATGGCTAATTATATATTGGGGGTGGGGTGATGGTGGGTGGTGACTATACTTTTGTATGTAGATGTCAAACTGAAGATAGCATTGACTCTTACAACCGTAAAGTTAAAATGTGGGTCTACTAATATTGTTAAGTCATCAGGTCTTGGTGTCCTAATTTCTGTGCAAATTTGATTGTTTCTAAATCATATAAGCACCAACTTAAAACCTTCGTTCTCACTTTCACACTTCTTAACATTTTTTTTGAGAGAATGAGAATTTAAATGCACAACACAAAGTTCCTCCACGTTCATGTATCGATACCGTCCTTATAAAAGGACCTGGCTGTAAAAAAAAAGTGAAACTTTAACTTATCTGGAGGAAATGTTTAGTCGTCAACTTCAGAAGCTTTATGCATTAAATAATAACTCTGGATTTATCTTTGTTACATATGAAACTGTTTTTTTTTGTGTTAATCTCAACAAACTTAACAAACACAGGAGGTACTGCACAGTGTTAAAAATCTCCTGCACCTTTTATTTGTCAAAACAGTCAAAGGCATAACACTGAGCAGTGAGATGTTGAAATGTCTGCACGTCTGTTTTTCATTCTCAATATCCACCCCTTCTCACTCCCAGGTTCCTCGGATGGTGGAAGGCCTGATGTCCCACCACTGCTCTCAGGTGGCTGCAGCTAAAGACCACACAGTGGTGCTGACTGAAGAAGGTTATGTTTACACCTTTGGCCTCAACAGCTTTCACCAGCTGGGCCTGGCTCCTCCTCCAGCATCAGCACATGTCCCTAAACAGGTAGGAAATAGCTGGAATGGATATCTTTTTAAAGGGATGATTATCAGATTATGTTGAATGAAATCACAAAGTACAACAACTTTTTTTCATTTCTTTCTTACTTAAAATGTCTTAAAATCTGTATAAAATAGCTTATAGTTTCTGTATTTTGCTGTGAATGTAGGTGTTCTCCAAGACGCTGAAAGGAAGGACAGTGATTGGAGTGGCTGCAGGACGATTCCACACAGTGCTGTGGACCAGGGAGGCCGTCTACACAATGGGACTCAATGGAGGCCAGATGGGTAAGACTGACAAAAGACTATTGTGCGATTTCTTATTTGTATCTTTTCTGCAAAAATCCAGTTTTAAGCACTCACTGCTGATGAGAAACCCATTGTAGTCATGTAACATTTATTTTTTTTCTATATTTGTGTAAAACTCTCCAGGTTACCTGTTGGATCCAAATGGAGAGAAGTGTGTTACTGCCCCTCGGCAGGTATCAGCCCTGCACCACAAGGATGTTACCATAGCGATGGCTGCAGCTAGTGATGGAGCGACGGTGGTCGTGACTGAGAAGGGGGACGTCTACCTGTTAGCCGACTACCAGTGCAAGAAATTGGCTTCAAGGTATAAGAGACAGGAGAACTTAAACCAACTATGACACTGCAGACACAACTGAATCTTAAAGTAAAGGGTCAGTTCAGTTTCACGACGACACAACAGTAGCTCTTATACTGTCTGTGATATATCAAAGATACACACAAAGATACACAGTCTACACTGAGCAGGTCCAATATCCAGCATGCCATTACCAATGTTATGGAAAATATCATGTTAATGTTATCAAGAGGCTGCATGTTGTGATACAGAGTCACATGGAGCAGGAAAAGTTCAAGAAGATTTTGTAAAGAATTTAAGTTGTACTCTTCGTAATGATCGGGTTGATATGTGCACAGCAGAGGTTCTGTCTGCTCTGCGTCATCCAAGATATTCAAAGGAGACCTGTGTTGAATAGTCACAGGCAGTAAAATGGCCGAGTGAACTGGACACAGTTATCACTTCCTTAGTTTTGCATAGTGGTTTTGAAAAGCTCAATGGAAGGCACGCCTACCGTTTCCTAACATTGCATTACCGCAGACGTCAAAGAAACCGCAAGTTACAAATAAAGGAGCATCTTTAACTAATTAACGAGGATCTTCTTCAACAGATAGACACACTGATGAAGTATATTACACATGGCCTAGTGTCCTTTTATCCTTTTTCAGGCAGCTGAACATCAGGAAGGTTCTGGTTAGTGGTGGTAGTCTCGACCACCGTGTGATTCCACAGATCCTGAACGAGGGTGGAGGAGAGAAGGTGTCCATCTTGGCGTTAGATGAAGCTGGCAGGGTGAGTGCAGAAATGATTAAAGAAAAATGCTTTTTATTCTATCAGAAAGGACCTCAAGGGGGCAAGCATTCGTTCATTATTAAATCCATTATAAGAGAATAAAGCTGTAGTTAAATGTCACTGCCTTGATGTCTGCAGAAGTGAAAGCACAAAGAATATGTAACGTTTTTTGTATTTTTAACCCAGCTTTTCTTCCCTTGCAGTCATCTAACCTATGGTATAAGTAGACTGTTATGCAATTCAAAACCTATACGGGGTCCTTCAGATGAAAAAGGTGACTAAGACTTTGTGTTTGTAACTTTTTCCTTAAATTTCCTCCCTCCTCCGTTTTCCCTATCTGTCAGGTGTTTTGCTGGCGGTCCTGCGGCAGCTCGGTGAGACAGTGCCGGTGGGCGTATGGGCGTCAGGTATTCATGTCAGACATAGCGCTCAGCAGGAACAGCATGATGTTTGTGACTCAGGAGGGGGAGGGCTTCAGTGGCGTGTGGGCTGGAGAATACAAGAAGTACGAGGAGAAGAAAGGTGAGGAATTTAGTTACATGGTACATTGAATCATAAAGGTGACCATTGTTTTGTAACGGCTTGTTGTTTAATGTATCAAGTTTTCATTGGACATGCACTGACTTATTTTAGTGTGTTGCTAAAGGCAGTCAGATCCTTAACCTTAGATAGATAAAGCCATTTTTTAAATGTTAGTAAGTTTAACTGTATTTATATGGCATCCTTCTAAAACATCTTCTCAGAAAGAAAGAATTCAAAAAGACATTTAAGAAACACAAACATCCCAGCAGAGAAACTATACAACAACCCATCACCACTCACAGTCACACATGAATTAAAAAAAGATCCAAACATATTAATGTAAAGTTATTTATTGGTTTTAAAAAAAAAAAGCCTAGCAGGTGAACCAGGATAAGCACTGAAAGGACAACAATATGAAAGTCAGAGTAAGTGAATTGAGTTTTGATCATTATGCTTCTTGTAATCTTCTAGAGGTCAGTGTGGAGGTTTGTGGTCACTCAGATGCCGGGACAGTATTCGAGCGAATCCGCCTGGAGAAACTCCCGTTTGTCCACCGAGCCGTCAGCATCACCATGGACTCTAAAGGGAGAAATTATGGAGTGCTTCAGTCCGACCCGAAAACAAGGTAGTAAACAGCACGTGTAGAAAGGAAATGAATAGAATGGACAAGGCTGCACACAATGGAGTGCATTTATGAGACATTTGGCAAATTTGCTCCGTCAGAGAAGCCTGATCTCTCAAAAAAAAATCAGCTGATAAATAACCTGTGTGAACAGTGTGTTAAAAACTCCAGTGAGTGTCACTTGAGTGATAATTGAGCTGGAGGAAAAAAAATCTGTGAAATCATCAATAGGCACTTTGTAAGTATCATACTGAAGGTTATTCCAAACTAGTGAGGTCATCCAAGTGAGTGGATAGACGATGCTAACTAATACAAAGAGGAGGATATGATGTCTGAGTTTTTATTCCTCATCCAAGCTCAACACTGTGATTATTAAATCATAAACACATTTCATTTTTTACAAGTTCTATGACTCAGTTGAAATGGGTTTGAAATCATTTCAGCAAACTATACTGTTTGTTAATAAAACAACGACCACAACCAGCAAGGTTTTAACAGCATATATAATAAATGAAAAAGAACAATGTCTTATTTTGAAACCTTGTGATTTGATCACAACTTTTATTCTTCAACTTGTCTACTTTCATTTGACACCGAACTTGAATTGATCAGATAAACGTCCTCGGGCGGATGCTTTCAAACAGGTACCCTTTAAACAGGGAAAATACAGTGTTTTTTGACATTCAAAAAATCATAGCGGACTTCCTGTTGACATTAGACAATGACTTCCACTGACTTTTTTGTAGGTCTCGGCATGTTCAACATTTTCATAGGTAGGTAAATAAACCTATTCGTAAAAATCAAAAGGGGGCGCCATTGAGCCATTTTGTACAGAAACACTATAATACGTAAATTTCACGCTCTCCCGGTCTGGGTGCTAAAAATTGAGAGTTTCGTGCACGTTAAGGCCCCCAAATTAGCGATTCATTTGTGCAAAGGAAAACCACTACAGATACAATAGGGTCCTCGCTCCGAGGTCGGTGCTCGGGCCCTAAATATCATGTAGACATGATTCTATTCCTACCTCAGGTTCAAACATTGAACTCTGGTTGCTTTTTCTTCTTTATACGAGATGGGAGGGGTGAAAAAGGAACAAGTATTCCGTCATTAGGGACTAAATATTGACCTACGACCAAATGCTGGTACATTAATGTGGTTTGACATAAACATGGACTATAGCTGATCTGGTCTTATTGTTTGTTTTTAGAAAAAAAAACATATTTTCATTTGATCTCCTGCTGGTCATGTATATAAATATAAATATATATATATAAACTCATTTATTTTAGCCTATGTTTCCAGCATGGCAGCTCTGTGCACCTTGTCTTTATCACACTGTTGTTCTTTTAGGCATTTTTTGTTTGACATTTTTATCTTGATTTAAAAAAAGTCTGTTCACAATAGACTTTCATATTTTTTCATGTTTTCTGTCTTGGGTCACAGATTTCACTTTTTTTTTTTTGATATTGATCTTTTTTTTTTATAGTTCTTTTGAATCATGATGTCTTCCATCTTTCTTTTATTCAGCTTGTTTGAGATTCCCATGGTTTCTCCACCATCCTTCTCTCAACACTTCCGGAGCCTTCTGGATGAGGCAGACGAAATGGACAGTATCCATGACGTGACCCTTCAGGCAGGTGATCGCACTTTCCCGGCCCACAAGTACATCCTTTCCATGAAGTCTGAGTTCTTCCGGAAGCAGTTCATGTCTGAGCATGGCGGCGTTGACGAGGAGCCTGATGAAGAAGTGAGGAAGAGCGAAGATGCCGTGGGCTGCGATTTACTCATTTTGGAGAAGATCCCGGCAGACTTGTTGGAGTACACCCTGCACTTCATCTACACTGACTCCTGTGAGCTGCTGGTGCATGGGGCCCGGCCCAGAGTCTCAGTGGCATCCAATGGACAGAATCAGGTGAGGAAAAGGAGAGAGCTCGTGTCATTTAGAAATGTACTTTTATTTAATGTTCTATCTCTGAGCAGCAAGTTATGTGCTTACACCTCGAACAACATTTAACCTCTGAGGGATCTGTGGTTATTTGATGATGAGCATACTTTGCTTTTGCCAGGACTCAGAGCAGGAGAGGCTTATCAGCAGCCTGCAGGACTTGGGCCTTAGAGGTCGCTCAGCCCTTGAGGTATATCGCTCTCTTCCCCCTGCATCCAAAGGTGATGGTGACAAGGCAAAGAACAAGTGTGCCAAGCCTGGCAAGAGGGGGAAAGGAGGCAAAGGTGACAAGCATGGGGCCAACGAGGGAGGGGCCAACCCTCTGAAATCCTTACAGGGTGTGGCAAAAAAGCTCGGCCTTGGAAGCCTGTCTGCACGGTGAGAGAGATTGCACTCTTAACCCTGAGGGAACATTCGATCTGGTGTTATGTCTTGTTGATCATGCATATTTTATTCCTTCATAGACTGGACGGAGTCAAATATGAAAATGGAAAGATCAATGTCATTAACAAGAAGACTGGAAACAAACCTAAATTCTACCAGAAGAAATGGTGTGTATAACAGCGGAAGCCATAGATTTTAAAATTTGACTAGAAAATGTGGAATTTCTGATACATCAGTCCGTTTGTGTGCGTACAGCTCCTACCTGTGTGATGTCACTCTGAAATCTGAAGATGGGAAGGAGTTTCCATGTCACAAAAGTGTCCTCTGTGCAAGACTTGGTAAGACTTTGTAGTTGCTATTTTGCATGAATGCTTACAACAGCAACCAGCACCAAAACTCACCTCTGATTGGATGATTGACAGTTTTGGTATTGCAAAGTGTGTCACAAAGGTTTTTTGTCAATCTTTTCTATAGAATACTTTAACAGTATGCTCGGAAACCCTTGGATTGAGGTATTCCAGCTTTTTATTTCATACTGTAAAAATGCACTGTAAGGACCTAACAGGACCGGTACTGATCATAATGTTGTATTTTTTTCCAAAGGCCACATCCTGTTCTGCCCTGGAGATGCCTACTAGCTCAGAGATCCTGCACGTCATCCTTGAGTACATTTACACAGATGAATCTCCCTCCATTAAAGGTATCTTTTAAAGTTTGATAGTGACTCATTTTGATCTAGCATGACATGCTCATATTAACAGGGCATACTGTTTTTCTTCTTTGCTCTGCAGAGTCCCTGAATGTGGAGTTTATCTGTAATGTATTGGTTGTGGCTGACCAGATGCTAATCACACGGCTGAAGGAGATGTGCGAAGTCGTCATCACTGAGAACTGTATGTTGTTTGTATTTTTTTTTTCTCTGTGTAGACACTGCCCTTTCATTTGTCTTCATCTGTGTCTGCTCCTTTAATCTTGAAATAGAGCTAAATTCATGTCACATGAGGAATACAAATTAGTTGGATTAAAATTCTTAGACGCAGATTACACAATTTGTTCATGTACAGTGATTTAGTCACGGACAACATGAGACGAGGTTTGTACAAACTTAAACTGATTTCCAAAGGATATGTACTCAACATGACCATTACTCGACTTGAATGGGTGGAAAATTGGCAAAAAAAATCTTGTAATTTAATGAAATACTGAGTTATACAAGTGCAACACAATGAAGTGACAGTGTGAACACATTATGAACACATTCAGACGGTTATATAAAGAAAACTGACCCTCAGAGTGTGAATGAGAGTTCATTTGATTATTCTAAAAAGGTCAACAAAGAAAATTAACCCATTTAATAAGAAGCTGTTTTTAACCTTCTTGTCTAAATGATACAAGGTGTTAAAACATATAAATTTCTAATGTTTGTTATTGAAAATATATGATAAATGCTTCTTTTCATATGTTTGAAATGATTAATGAGGGGCCTGCTTTGTTTCTTCTCAGTGACTCTGAAGAACGCTGCAGAGCTGCTGGAGTTTGCTGCGATGTACAACGCAGAGCAGCTTAAACTCTCCTGCCTGCAGTTCATTGTGCTCAACATGGCCGCCCTCCTGGAGTCAAAGTAAGACTTGTGATAAACTTCACCAACTGTTAAATAGAGAAATATCATTACTCTTAGTATTTATTTTGTTCATCATAATTACTTATGAGCCTTTGAAGTTAATGGTTCACATTACTACTGAGAATCTCATTTACCTTAAAGAACACACTGATGCATGAAAAGTGAGACATTATGTATACAGTGAAGGAAAAGTACTTTACTTTGCAGCAGAGAACTGCAAACAAACTTTTCTCATGTGTTTCTGTCTGTCTGTCCCTTCGTTTTGTGTGTTGCCCTCAGAGCGCTGGATATTCTTAGTGATGAAGTGCTCGTGGAGCTTTCTGCAGCCTACAAGAGGATGGTGAGTCATCCCGTACCAACGTCCTGAACTGCATCCTTGTTTTTATGACTTCAAATTTAGTGTTTTTATTTTATTTTTTTCACTTAAAGTAAAAATAATATTTGGCCTTAATAAGGTCATGTATTTTTAAGTAGTTGGTTCAGTTGACTGTAGACATTTTTTTGTATCTTCAAATCAAAGAGCTGACTTTGACTGAGTGACTAATGTTACCTCTGTTTGTGTTTGTTATGTAACTGCGGGGTCAATGCAGCAACTTTTCTCATATTCTTTGACTATTTCTGGTTCTTATATAGCCATAAACTTTTACAGAGTCAACTTCTGTTTAACTATATCTAGTGCAAGTGATGCCTCATGGAACAAAGCGGGTTCTAAAACTTCTGCTTAGATTTCTCAGACAATCTTTATATCTATATCTAATAGAGGTGGGGGAAGAAAAATTGAGATTCTTATCTTGTGAGATTTTAAAGAGATTCATAACTTCCAAAAATAGATTTTCTTTTTCTTTTTGGGCTAATCAGTCACTCCCTGCTAAGCTCTAAAGCTCTTTCACTCAGTAGAATGCCAAATGGAGCAGCAAGAAATTCAGCCAGTCTCACAGATGACTGGAGTAGAAGTATGTTCTAATTCATAAATAGACTTTGAATCATGAATCCAGAATCGTTTTGAATTGAAATTAGATTCTGAATCGAATCGTGAGACACCCAAAGATTCCCAACCCTAATATATATATATATATATATATTTTTTTTTTTCAGATCCCAGCAATGCAAAAGAGGATTATCACTCCATATCCTGGCGCCCCAGACCTCAGCATGTATGAGGATGAAGACTTGGACTCTGCTTTCAGCCCCAAATTAGAAGCAGAAGTGGATCACTCCTGCAGGTAAAAAAACATGTTGAGCAGAGATCTGTAAAGACAGAGATGTTCTCTCGTGAGTTTAGATCAGAAGGACTTTTAGACCAGCTCAAGCTGACAGGTTTAATTTCAATCCATGACAATCACATTAAACCAAATTAAAGGTTGTACTTGAAATAAATACCCGCTAATGGTTGTAATGCTTTACCTCGCCATCAGGGATATTCTGTTGAAGAAGGCCAAGATGAAGGCTAAGAAGAAACCAAGACGACGCTCTGACAGTTCAGGGGGCTACACTCTTTCTGATATCATCCAAAGCCCCCCTGCTGCAGGTATACTTACCACATGGAGGATGGTTTTCTACTCTAAACACATATACAAATGAAACATATCCTTCTTTAAACAGTATCAAAAATGAAAATTCTTGAAGTAATATCTTGTTTTAAACTTTCAAACTGTCTGTTCTCTCAGTGGTCTCCCAGTGCCTGGTGAAGTCTGGAAAGGCTAACTCGACAGAATCCCTGCAGGAGCTTCTCACATCTGACTCAGAAGGAAGCTACATGGGGGTGGGCAGTCCCCGGGACATGCAGTCACCCGTCTTCCACGACAGAACTGAGGTTAATGTCAGATGATATGTCATGCTGCACCATATGATAAACTTGTATTTATATTTATGATAGTTATCCATACAGAGTACTAGATATAATACGTAACTTAATCTACAGGATGAGAAGACTCTCAGTCAGAGGCTGAAGACCCCACCCAGCACCCCAACCTCCATGAGCGACTGCCCCCCAACTCCCCCCACCTCTACTCCACAAGCCACCCCCAAGGTCCTATCCTGGTAAGAGGAGTAATGACTCCATGATTAAAGACAAATCTTTTTTTATTCTTGCTAACTGGTGGTCTCTAAATATTCTGCAGAACATTCACAGTGAGGAAGTCAACTTTTTTTTTCTTTCCATAGAAGCAGTCTCACTCTAAAAACAGATGAAGTCTTGGTTTAACAAAAGTTGATATGCACTCCCACTTCCTTTTGACAGGGTGGGGGGATGAGAAAGGAGGAAATGTTATCATCACTGAGCTGTATGTCTGAATGTGTTATTTCAATCTGCAGTCCTGCTCGTCCACCCCCTGTCCTGGATCTGAGAACTATCATGGACATGGAAGCTAGCTCCCTGCAGACCCCCAGAGCTACTCCTAAAAGCCCTGGAAGGTACAGAATATGAGCCATTAATGAGAAGATTATTTAGGAAACTAATACTTGATTGCTTTAGAATTACATGCACGTTTAGTCCATTTGTAAAGTGTCCTGCTTCATTTTGTCCCTTTGCCAAGTTTAAGAGGAAGCTACAAAGCCACTTAGATAAAAAAAAAATATCCTCATGTTTTTTTACTGCAGTACATATTTTCCTCTGTCTGCAGTGTCAGCGCCAGCATTAAGCACTCTCCTGTTCCCGCCAAACTGTCTCAGAAGCAGAGGAAGATGTTGGCAATGGCCAACAAGGAGACCAGTTTGGAGACCACTACATCCAAATCATCCCCCACACAACCCCCATCCAAAAGCAGTGGGAAGGCCTGGTGAGTGAGCCCAAAAATGAAGAACTCAAATCTATCAATATACAAAAGTAATATAAAACTTCCTGCTTCTAGTTTTAGTTCTACAGTTGTTATGTTTATGTTAAGATATGTGTCAGCACAGAGTATTCCCCCTCAGCTGCTCTGTGGATTGCCTTGTGGAGGCAATGAAATGCCATTGCATGTTCAGCCCCCTTCACTCTGACATCTCTCCATTAGTGCATGTCCATAGGATCCTCTTTGCACATGGGTGTGTGTTGCATGTCTCAATAACAGAGTATAAAATTTCCCCTTGTGGTATTGATAAAGGATATCTTCTAACCCTGCACTCCAGATCATTATTAAAAAAGATTCCAGGCCAGCCCTGACATTATCCAGAGTTGCCTGTTCACTCATGTTCCTCACTGCAGGAGAATATATTCAAGATGGTGGAAGAAGTTTTACCTTAATACCACTGTTACAGGGAATTTGATGAAAGAGGGGAAAAGAATACTAAGCAGAAAAGAGTATTAAGAAGCTTTATTACGTACTCAAAGATCCTAGAGATTCCACTCTGGGCGTATAAGATAAACGTAATCAAATTTTTGGACATTTTCAGGAGTGCAATCAGTGCGCATGTGAAACGGGCTTAAGAGTGTCTTGGCTTTTTAGTGCTTGACAATCTTCTAAAACTGAAGGGCCAGTAGTTCTCCATGTGATCAGAAGTAACAGAAGTGCAACCAGCTTTTCCTTTTGTTTGTTTTGAATGTCTAATTTGTCTATGTGATTTTTATCTATCTACAGGGCAACATTAGTCCAATCCCCACCCTCCTCGTCTTCATTTCGAGCACTTCTAGAGGAAGAGGAAAAGTGCTTGATCAAAGTGGGACAATCAGGAGCCCAAAGGGTCCCAGGTACCCAGGGGTCACCTAGCACTCCTGCTTCTGCAGCCAGAAGGGTCACATTTAAATGTGCTGAAGGCAGCGAGCCAGAGAGACCAACTGGGTGAGTATCTCTTCATACCCTGGAGTACAAACTGTTGAAACAAGGTTGGCCAAACCTGTTCTGTTCAGGGTTTTTGTCCACTTGGTGGCACTATTGAGCTGGTTTATAAATCTGCTGGATGTTTTTTACCTTTTCTACTAAATCAGCTTCCCACAGTCCTACTGTAATCATGAGACACAATGAGATACAAAATGTCACATTAACATGATTCATCCCCTTGTACATTTAATTACCTTCACCTCATTATATTCATCAGTTTTATTCTTCCCATTTTATTTATCACATTTTATTATGTTCTAATATTTTACTAGACTTAGAACGTTTTGTGCAGCCACTTAGAGATGTGAAACAGGACTAACAGACCTGAAACGAACATATACTGGTGGCTTGGGAGATTACCAAACACAAAAGGGATGTAACGATGACACTGACACACACTCCTCTAGTCAGACAGATCTCGAGAGGCGTGATGCTCTGGTCTGAGTGAGGGTGAAACGCTCCAAATGACCCTGTGCAGCTGGGTTGACCTGCCCGCAGAAACTGAGTCACCCTGACTTTTACAACATCCCCAAACAGCTGGACAAACACACCACACACACAAACACACTCTGTGAACTCAGATTAAACAATAATCAGTGATAACAAAGTATCATTAGTTTAATTTATTTCAAATGTAGTCCTGTATGTGTGTGAGAGGAAGTCATCTCAGGTCTTAAAAGTAGATTGATCTTTTTAGTATTTTGTAAATGCCTCTCTTGTTATCTGATATTTTTCTTCCTCTGTGTGTTCTCCTACGCAAAATCTTCAGAGCAGCCTTCTAGATATCAAACAGCTGTGCGAGTGTCTTAAGAGAAGGCAGTGATGCTAATCAGTATTGATAAGGGCAGCCCTTGTGTCACAACAGATCATCCAGTACACAGAACAGTTTCCAGCTTTCTCTCTGTGTTTGGATGAGCAGAAAGACAGAAGAGTTCAAGACTCAGGAAGCAGCAGTAACCCTGTACATTCTCCCGTCTACCTTCTGGGACACTGTTTCCATATCCCAGTCAGAAAGAAGCATCATAATGCCTGTATAATCTTTGTGATAGGGTCAACTTTTTTTTTCTCCTCTCATGTCTTCCTAAAATATTTCTGCTTATTTCATATTTACGTGCACTTCCACACTCCCAACTTGCGCATTGCTTAAACATACATCTTAGTGAGTGATTAGGAATGTTTCTGGCTTTATTTATAACTAACTATTAATGGAGTGTGTCTCCAACCCCCACATACACATGGCATCTTTGAAAGAACAAATCACTCTAAAGGGACACAAATCAGCCTGCAGGGAGTTCATGTCATCTCTATGACATGTCGTATTTCACATGTCAATTCCAGTAGACATTCAAGGTTGTATGGACAAGGAAAAACTACAACTCAGATTTTTTACTTTTAGAGTTAAAAGAATATAAATATTCAGAGGAAGAAATGTTTTCTGCAGCCTATTTGTAAGTAAAGGGCAAACACTGCAGAAGTGTTTTATAAGGAAGCTGCTTTATAGAAATTTAAAAGGAAAGAAACTAAAATATTGATTTAAAATAAAACAAATTTGGTGACAATTTCAATATAAAATGAATCTAAAGACATCAAATAGAGAAATAAGAAGCTGGAGGTAACATATCATCTAATGCTTCAAAATGGATACAAGAAATCTGTCTGTTGCACATTGTTTAAGCAGCTCAGGAATGACTGCAGCTGTAATATTTCAAGATGAAGGTGGAGACACAAAATGTGACTGCTTACACATGATTTTTAAGGGTGTTAAACAGGACACACCGTAATACACTTATCTATAGGCGTTTATCGTGTTTTCAGCATCACCTGACAAAAGGTCTTATGTTTAAGGAACAGCTTTTATAAAAACATCTGAGTGATTAATCCACAGAAGAATTCTTCTCAAACTTGATCTATTCACTATCACTCAGGCATATTGACTACATCACAATCACTCTACTTTAGAAGGCAACAAGACACATGCCCAATTGCTATTCATTGATTCTTCATCTGCCTTTAATAATATCCAACCCTATATTGTTGAACACTTTGTCCTGAGTTTTAATTTGCTTGGATGGATCAGGGATTTTAAACAAACTGAACACAACAGGTGTTGAATGGCATATTATCAGATTTATTTAGTCTATTCGTTTGCTGTGTTGTCTCACCCTTGGTTTATATTGTGTACACAAACATGTGTAGAAGTAAACAGGAGAACAGGATCATCTTGAAATTTGCTGATGATTCAGTCATTGTGAGTTTGTTAACTGATAGTGAGTCCAATTGTTGATGAGTTTGTCACCTGGTGTGACCAATCTTTCTTGGAGCTAAACATTTCCAAGACAAAGGAGATGATAATAGATGTTTGAGCCCACGCTTCAAATCATCTCTGATGTCCATGATGAGTTTAAACCAGGCTGTCGACATTATTGATACAAATATCTCAGGACGATCACAGATTCCAAATTGACCTTTGAGAAAAATTGTGAGGCAGTTTTTAGGAACGCGCATCAACTTTTGTTTTGTCTTCGAAAATTGTCTCCTTTTCACTTTGATACAACATTGATGATTCTGTTTGATAGAGCTTTGATTAAATCTACCCTGTCTTAATCTCTTGTTTCATGGTTTGGTAACCTGACTTTTAAAAACAATAACGCTCTTAATCAAATCCTCAAATTTGCGAGCAAACTGATAGGTGAGTCTCAATACAACCTGTCCGATCATTATTCTTAACAGCTGCAGCGTAAGGCGAGCTCTATTCTCCATGACTACTCTCCTCCTTTAAATGGGGAGCTTGTCTTTGGAACTCTGAATATCCTGTCTGCACAACAAATTTACCTTTTTAGGTACTAACAAAACTTGAACATCAACCTTAATGTTGATGATGAGTTTTGTGGTCACAACTTATTTCCAGTGGCAAAAAAAAATGTTTTTGCTGCTTTGAAATGATTAAAGGCTAATATCAGAGTCAGGAGATGTTACGAAATGAAACCGGACCAAGGGGGCGCCTTGACCCTTGGCCAAGTCATTAATTTGCATGCCCCATGGACAGAGATCATAGTCCTCTAAGCAGGTAGTCTGGGTTCGAATCCGACCTGAGTTTACTGTCCTGCATGTCATTGCCCACTCTTTCTCTACCTAATTTCTGACTCTGTCCACTGTCCTGTCTCTCCAAAAAGGCATTACATACCCAAAAATGTAATCTTCAAAAAATAAAAAAAATAAACGGGACCGAGATTGGACCCCTGTGGAACTCCGTATGAGGTGTACTTTGAAAATGAACTCTACAATAGAAGACAGGACTTCTGGTGTACAGATATGTCTTGAACAATATTTCTGGTCGTCCTGCATCCCTGAGGTTGAGCAACAGTCCTGTTATACATACAGAGGTTTGTGAAAGTCAGGTGGACAGGTGGCCGCTCACACACAGCAGCAGCAGCTTGTCAGCAGTTGTTGACTCAACCTTTGTTCAAAGCCAATTCTTGTTGCCTTCACTTTCACAGCACAAGCATTTATACCCATCCTCTCCCGCTTTTCCTCTCCTTGTCACCCCTCTCTACCCTCAGGCCCTGGGTGCTTGGAGCAGTGGGTAGCCCTCCCCTCTCCTCCCTGGTGACCTTCGCCTCCATCGTGGAGGAAGAGAAGCAGCAAGAAGCTGCACTGATCCGCAGCCGAGAGAAGCCTCTGTCACTCATCCAGGTAACTAGTCGTAGTCACCGGCACATAGACACTCCTGCCAGGACTGAATGTAAAGCATGTGTGAAGTCTTCAAGTGGAAAACATTGCAGCTTTTCATAATGGCCTCAGCTTGTGTCTTCTTCCTCTGTTTCCTCCTGGAAGCAATTTATCGAATAAAGATCACACTGCTGGTTAGAAATGAAGTGCCTCCAGTTTGGGGTTTTTGACAGGCCCCCATGATCTTCTACTGTTGCCAAGCTTTTGTCAGCACCTACACAAAACACTTCAGCTTTCTCCTGCAGCTTTCTGGTTGCAATTATTTTTAAACATTCTTATTATCATTACACTTCCAGGGTCAGCATTTTCCCTTTACACTTAAATTAAGCATGGTTTTATTGCCCACAAAATCATTTTTTTTTGTCTTTTCTGTCATTCCAGATTGAGGAGCGGGCAATCCAAGACCTCCTTTGTCATTATAAGGCACGTGACAACCCAGATGAGCTGATAGTGGTGGAGAGGTCTTCCAGAGGTCCTATTGCAGCCCCAACTTGGAACAAACACTGATGAAAAACAGCACAGCCACTTCATACCATCAATTCGAGAACATTGCTTACGGTTGTCCTTGTGTACCATCATCAAATCCATCAACGTGTGTTAAGTTGCGCCTCAGAATCATCCTGCCCATAGTTTGGTTCTGATTCAAATCTATGCTTCCCTCCGCAGTGTTACATTAAGTTTTATTTAATTGCTGCTCAACATTTAGTTTGTGTGGTGTGATGAGTATTTTCATGACTGAATGTGGTCCTGAAGAGAAGTTTTCGCTCTGGGATAACTTACAGATATATATGTTTTGATGGGTTTTATGTCTCCTATTGGCAAACCAATAACAGAAAAAAGTAACCGACTTTCCGTAATAGTGAGAGGTAACTATGAGAAAGTAAAGGTGCCAAAGATGACGAAAAAGAAATGTAGATGTTGAAGCAAAAAAAAAGGGTCCAAACGACATCAGCCTGAGGGCTTGTGTTTGTGTTAACTAAGTTAAGACTCCTAATGTGATTGGAAAAAAAAAGTGCCAATCAGCAACTGCGGCAAAGCATCAGCTGTATTTAAGAAGTAGAGTGAGTTGTTTACGACGGCAGTCAGTTTCTTTAAATTGTCCTTTTTTTTTCTTTTTCAGAAGTGCGTTGTTTGGATTGGTTCAACTGTTTTGCAGTGAGATGTCTACTTTCCTGGAGGCAGTGAATATGTGTATTTTAAATATAAATGATATTTTAAATACATCATTTGATGAAGTATTATTGAATGGTAAAAGCTCAGTAGAATTGGTTGATTGTGTTGAAGTCATGACTAGTTAACGGAGGTGGTGTGCCTTTATCACATGGTGACTGTACTTAAACACATACAGCAGCTAAAATATCATTTTCCTCCTCATTTGTTTATCTCGTTATTCATTTGATTTCATTCTCCAGCTAGGAGCCGTTGTAAGCTTGGTTGGTAACTCAGATCTGGACCATGTTACGTTGTCTTCTTATGCAATTTGATTGTGCGTGTGCGCGTGTGTGTGTGTGTGTGATAGAGAGACACACAAGGACGTTAAGAGAAAATGGCAAATAATAAAAACATCTCAGCTGTGCAATGATCCTGTCTCCAGTCTCCTATTTCAGCTTAGATTGCTCCTGATAGACAAATTCAATTTGTCTATTATTTCATTTTTAATAACTAAAACTTTAGTCCTCTATGTGAGAAATGTGTTTCTCACAGCATCTAATAAAGAGAACACTTAATCTGCCTGTTTCCTGACACTTCTAGCTGCCCTGCATGAGCAAAGCGCCATTATCAAGTCTCCGCTTGTGATTAACTGTGATGACCCTGATCCGAACAGCGAGTGGGGCGATTTAAAAATTTTATTGGCTGTAATTACAGGTAGAGCAGGGAGAGACAGCTCTTGGGAGAAATATTAATTACAGATTAGGATCTATTAGTCGGTGCACAGATGACATATGAATCAAAGCCTCGGCGGAAAAAGTCTGCTGCTTTACATCACTCCATAAGGAGCCAGGCTGATACCACAAGCATGAAAACCCAAAACAACTGCTCATCCTCAGCATCTGTGCTCTGAATCGAAATGGAGTGTTTCTGCAGGTGGTGGAGTGCCACATTAAATGATTTAAAATGAGACACTCAAAAGTATAGAGACACTAAATGTACTGAAGCATGTTCAGTCTGCTAAAGTGTTTTCTTTTTTTCAAGATTTATTTTTGGGCATTTTGTTCTTTTTATTGGAGGGATAGGACAGTGGATAAAGTCGGAAATCAGGTTGAAAGAGAGTAAGAATGACGTGGGAAAGGAGCCACAGGTTGGACTCAAACCTGGGTCGCCCGCCAGGAAGACCACAGCCTCCATACATGGGGAGCACGCTCTAACCATTGTGCCCCCCTAAAGTGTCTTTAACATGTTAAACCACTTGATTCAGATTACACGATTGTGAAAGTATTTATGTAGAATTGGATGATGATTTCTCACCACCTTCATCATTTTGTCTACCATAAACAAATGTTATAGATCTAGACACCGTGTTAGCTTTGCACAGTACAAGGGTTTCAAAGTGGGAGCATATCTACTTTATCTCTGAAACAGGAAGATGACGTGTACATTTGCAAAACATAACTGAGATAACATAAAAATAAACAAGACCATAACGCTTGTGCAAATGCATTCTGTTGATATTCATGTTTATGATGCAAAGAACTGGTTCACAGCTGCAGTGATGCTCCCACAGTCAGATGAACTCTAATAGGCACACTACTTCATCAACCACACATCAGTCATTTTCTAAATCTGTTCAATCTGATTGGTTTTAACTTGAACATTAAGATTTATATCATTAAGTGTTTCCATCCACTTTCATGCAATAGAAGAGCAACGTTTGAGCCGTCGAGTTAGCAGTCAAACTTCCAAGCACTTTGAGCAGGAACTAGATAGTTCAACCATTTACACTAATGCTATCCTTTACTTTTACCTGACCACATCCTTTCTTAACAATTGCCTTTTTCTCTTCAATTTATCCTAGACTTCTATCCAAATGTTTCAGTCCCTTTTCCATTTTAATGTAGCTAACTATTTGAACCACCTGTCCATGACTTCTTGTTATTTCTTATCTATTAGGAAAACTTAACAATTAAATGGCCAAAATGTACCCTACCATTTTGGAGATCCAGCCTGACTATGCCTGTAGTAAAATCTCTGTAACTTGTTTTTGTTAAGAGTTATATTTATTGTGATATCAAGTTTATTCATATAAACCTTGTAACTGCAGAGGTATACTACTATGTTTTGGCATGCCACTTTTGAGCTGAACCTCAGAAAAAGACTTAAGGGATGATGGGGTTAATAATTCATGTTGAGCTATTTTTCCATTAGGCCTCCTGTATTTCATATCATGTTGTCTTGTTGTCAATTACTTTTAGCTTTTGTCATTTAAACATGAAGATGAATGTGCTAATTAGCCTTCTAGGTTTTAAAGTCAAATATTAACGTTTGTTATATAATTTTAGTTAAGCGAACAGTTCAGGTGGAGAAGGGCGTGACAGAGCGGTGAAGCCTGTGGAAGCTTTGGAGGGATGGCTAAGGATGGAGCCTGGCTGACGAGCCTTCCTGCGAGGCAGATGGTAAAGTAATAGGGACATCCTCCAGAAGGTGAGGAGAACCTCAGGATGAATTTGTTATGGAGGAAAAAAAGGAACTTCTAGACACTCAGAGGAATAATTCCTACATTCCTAATCTGCTTTGACTTGGATGGTGCAAGATTAAAGCAAAAAGATCAAGGCCATCTAACCTGATATCATCACTCATCAGACTGCTTCTTGTCATCGGTTAGAGTGTAATGATTGTAAATGACTGTTAAACAGTTCTCTACCTCTCTATGCATAAGGTATTCCTAGTTCTTGCCAACTCAAAAAAACACAATCAGGTGACTTTGAAATGCTGAATTGATTCCGTTTTTGACCAGTGTTAATTTCAATAGATCTGTGTGGTTTGTTTTCAGAATTGTCTATCAGCAAGTAAAACACTTATATATAATATTCAAAAGACAGGAAGTTAACAACCATGATGATATCCTGAAAGCCGCTTGCATTGACCTTAGATCAGATCAGTAAAAGAGAGCCAGATCAGTAAAAGAGAGCCACTTTTCTAAAGAAGTTTCCTTTTCAGCAATCACAAAAGTGATCGGAAGTTTGGATAACAAGCTTCAGTTCAGCGGTACAGAAGCAGCCAAAAGGGTGGCTGACGTGTTTTGTAGCAGGCTTACATATAGGGAAATGTACCATTTAGCTTTAGTTTTCCTTGAGGAACTAGTTTGTTTGGTCACATTGCCTGTATTAAACAATTTGGTTTGCTACCTTTTGCTTTACAATCAAAATAATTTTGCATTTGCTAGGCCTAAGTCTAAACTTGTATTTAAGATTAGAAAAAGATGCATTTTAATGTATAAAAACGCCTCTATGATTATTTTATTTTGTCATTAATTGAGGACCAGAATTGGAGAGATCCCCTTTCCAAGTGTTTGAATTCAGATCACAATTCTGCCAGTACAAGCAGCACATTGATAACTCACAAACTACCCACATATGTTAGCAGCTGAACTTTGTAAAAAAAAAACACAAAAGCTTTTTAAAACATGTTTAAAATCATGCACAAGTCATGTCGATGATTTGTTTTAGAGGGAATGGTGCTTCCAATGAACAACACAAGCATTATTGCCTTGATTTGATTAATACACTTAATTCTACTTTTTTTTACTGCGGCACAGATTCAAATCCAACCTGAAGCTCCTTTCCCACATGTCTTTCCCCACTCTCTCTCTCTCTCCCTGATTTCCAACTCTATCCACTACTATTTCTACATTAAAGGCAAAAAAAAACAAAAATATATCTTTAAAAAAAATCGTATATCTTCATGCTGGAACAACATACTGTAATACGTAAACAGTAAACTTCTTTTGTGACTACAGAGCCCCTCAGGGGATATTGTCCAAAATTAAAAAAAAAAAAAAAAAAAAAGCTTCTGGTTACCACTTGAAAGTATCTTGTGCTCATAAGAAACTATCTCATGCACACCAGGTACTTTCTTGTGAGCACCACAAAGACACTTGATGTCCACTTGAGGGGCCGTGTAGTGTGACACTGTTAGGCAGAGTGGGAAATACAGCACCGCGGAGGAGTCATGGAGAAGAAGAAAATGTTTTTATGATCTACTAAAATGTATAATTTTTTCAGATAATGTACTGGGTCAGAACATCTACACATTAAATATACTTAAGTGGAATTAAAGGCCAAACAATACACTGAACTTGGTTTCCGTCTGACCCACGCCTCTTTATTTTCACTCTCACTGTCTCCGATATCCAACTCTAACGTCTGTCCTCCCAAATATATAGACATTAAAATATCCTCATTAGTTTTAATGCATAATATTAAAGTGGCAAATCTGTTGTCACCTCAAGAAAATAACAACCAACATATAGGCTTAGTCCTACTAAAATGTGCAAGTCAACTAATCATGCACATTGTTACCTGCATTCTGTTATCAACTATACACCTTGACTGTCGGTGTCAGCATGTTTTTAAAGTTAGCCTGAACAAAAAGCGAAAAGGCTAGATAGATGCAAAAAGGTTCTCCCCAGTGAGTTCAAATTAGCTATAGTGTATGTAGTCATGTGATATAGGTTACAAATGTAAGGGAATATGATAATTCTGAGACGTTATAATTAGCTCATTTGAATTAGATACAGCTATTTATTCACATACAACTTGATTAAACATCACTATACTTTGTATCTGATGTATTTCAGTTTCAGTGAAGCAGACATAAAGAAGATATAATAAGTAGAGCAGGGTTTGAATATAATTTATTAACCTGATGGCAACATTAAAGCTGGCTCTTAATACCTTCCTTAAGTAGTTACTTAAGAGTTATTCCTACTCTTCTTTATCTTGAATGTTGATCTGTCACTGAAAGAGCCTTCCAGCCGCTTAGTTACTCTCCATAGCCTGAGTCAGAGAAGGGTAAAGGTCTAGCGAGCTCATTCAATCCTATTTAGTGGACATGGAGCCAGTTAGCTGTGGATTACCTGACCCCCCCCCCCCACGGCCGTCACTCAGCTGGCAGCTTTACAAAGATCTTCAGGAAGTGTTTCACTCTGAGAATGTGGCAGGAACGTGCAGGCTGTCCTGTCGCCTTGGCTGCTGTTCAGCTGACGTCTTCTTGCGGTCAGTGAGACAGTGATCTCTGATCCACAGGTCTACTGGCAGCGAGCGCGGTCCTGTGACGTACTCAGAGCTCTGTCATGGACCATGTGCAGACCAGATGTGATGACTGTCATGCATTCTCCTTCATTTTTGCAAAGATCATATGCTTAAAATTTTCACTATGGTTCACTGTCTCACCCACTCTCTCTCTCTCTCTCTCCCTCTCACACACACACACACACACACACACACACACACACACACACACACACACACACTGACCTCAAACAGTTATTTTTTGTGTGTATGTGGTGCATGCAGAGTTGGGCCTGCACGGTGTCTTGTATGGAAATAATCAAACGATGCTTACATTTTGACTGACTTCTCTTGT